ATTTTCTATTTTTTTAACTAAAGCTGTTTCTTCTGCTATTTTTCTTGCAGCAGCAGCTTTCAAATCTTCTATCTCTTGATCCTTTGTTCTACTAATTCTTAATTGTGTTTTGATTACTTCGTTTAGCTCTATTATTATTTTAAATAATAAGTAATATCCCAATTTTTACCTTTTTTGTCCTCAGCAGCAATCGCTAATCAATTACAACTAATAATTGCATTCAAATAAAATTTAATAGTTACCTGTAGCATCTCTCAATGAAAACTGAAGAGCTTTAATTTCAGCCTGTTTTTCCTCTATCACTAACTTTAATTCTTGCATTCCAGTATCACCTTGATAAAGTTATGCACATGACTAGATTTGATTTTTATTGCTTCAAAATACATACCTTCATTTTCTACTTTTTTAACTAAAGCTGTCTTTTCTGCTAATAAATCTTGAAACATTTTTCTCTCCTAATTCTTAAAATCAAAACTATGAATTATATAATGATAAATTACTTCATTAGAAGTTGCTTCACTATTTATTAATTGTACATTCAGGGATACAAGTAATTGCTTCATTGTGCCACTGCTATTATAAACTGATGTAATGTGCTGGCTCTTCTCTCTTTCTAAATTTTATAATAAAAAGTGCATGAACAGCATATACATTGTACTTGTACTCCAAGTTGAAGTTATTGGTGAAAGTATTTTTGAAATTATTTTTTTAAACTTTCCTACAGCCACCACTTTCACCTATAATGAATTTCACTAACCTAAAATAGTATTAAATCAATAATTTCATAAGCTACCTCATCTTGAGAGTATACTGTACTGTAGCCAATGGTCAATTTTATCAATCCTTCCTTTTTCAGTTGTTCAAGATTTTTAAGAGCAGTTGCAATCAATGATTCAGAAAGAGCAAGAGGGAAGGAACAAGTGATGATAAATGAGTTTCCTTCCTTTACAACAACAACTCTGACGTATGGAGAATTACTCTCAAAAGCAATTTTTGTTAGATCCTGAACATCTTTTAAAGTTCCTTCATCAACACTTTTATCAACTGAAAACTGCAGTGTCTCACATTGGAGAGAAGAAGGACAGCCAATAGTCTCATTCAGCCATGAACGAAGGGGAATTTTTTCACAGAAATCATT